GCTTTTCTAGGGTGAGAGGCTCGAATGCTGATTGGTTGATGCCATTCTGCTAGGGCCCAAAGCCACAGGACAGGTCAGGAAACCAAGTCTCTGAAATGCAAACAAGGCTCCAAGCAAACTGGCCTGGACGGCAGCAACAAAGGATTTGTATACCTCCAGGCTGTAGGCACTAACTCGCCAAGGCGACATCCTGGCGGCTCCCTACATGTCCCCTTAAACCAACTACCTCACCCCAAATCTGGCACATTCCTCTTTAAAAGCAAAATGAAGAAGAGCAGGGTCTTCATCTGTAACTGAGCCTGGCTCAGATGCACAGCCACCTGTCTCTGCCTCCTGAGTGCTGGGCCTGCATCCAAACCATCATGCCAGGCTCTGGTACTCAATCTCAGCAATTCTTCATTACAGTCACAGCAAGGAGACAAAACAGACTCCACATTGGATACAGTTTCCATGAGGAAAGTTCCTAGAACTCTTGTTGACGTTTGTTTCACTGCACAGCACAAGGTAAGTTCATTGGCATCACTGTTATCACCTTCACTGCAAAACAGAAACCATAGGATTTACATCCTTGATAGGAACTAAATAGAACAATAACACTCATTCTCTCAAGAAACAGATGTGAAAAACTGTTGTTATCTATTCCTCAGGCCCAAGACTCCAGGGAGCACCAATGGTCTAGGATCCAGGGAAGAACAGAAGATAGTGTATTGGAAGGCTAGGAAGTCTGCACTGGGGCAGTTGTTTGTTGAGGTAGCAGGCTGGTTTGTGTATAGTATGAAGACAAAGGGGTATACAAAATGTAGTACTTTGCATAAACATGTTGGAATGAGGGCAACAGGGGTTATCAGTTCAAATACCAAAGAGTGCCTTCCTAGGTGGAAGTTCAGGGAGGGAACAGGAATGTTGCAGCAGCAGAGGTGGCAGGTCCCTTAGTGTTATCAGCTGACAGACAGCTAGCAAAATAACGTGTGTTGCTGCTAGCTTTCTGACAGGGAGGAAAAGAATTGCTGACTTTTAAAATGATGTGACCTTTTGTCACTATGAAGTGGATCCAGGTTTTCCAACCCAAGTCAGGTTGAAGGTCCTATTCCTATAATAAATCTCTCAGAGATTTTGGGCTAGAGTCACACCCAACTGACATGTTTGATTGTGAAATTTCTCAAAAGCCAAATATTTATATATTTCTACAACATATTGGAGTAGAACTTGATTACACTTCTCAGGACCTAATTAGCAAAGTCAAATATTAGCCACCCTTAGCCTACCTAGTTGCCCATTGCTGCATTGAAACCCAGTATAGCATCTTTGCCCCCATACAACTATTTAATGACAGTGAAGCAGATGTTTTATTCTCAGAAATTTATTCCCTTTTTAAAACTTACCTAATCCATTTTGCATTTGTGTATACAACCATGTGTGTGTGTGTGTATAGGAGGCAGAGGATAATCTGTAGGAGTTGGCTGCCCCTTTACAGGTGGGTTAGAGTGACTGAACCCTGTCAGCAGGCTTGTTTTTACCCTTGGGGCCTTATAACAGACCCCACATTTATTTATTTTTACACCAACCTAGAGTATAGGAACACGATTGATATCAAAAGCTCAAAAATAAAATGACATAAACATAGGCTTTGAGGATGTCATTCAGGGCTGAACTGCTATGGGGACTGACAGAAATGGAGCAGAAGAAGGTACTCAGATAACACAAAGTCTTAGTGGGTGTCGTTGCGATATTTCCTTCTTAGGTTTTGATGAACCTAAGAAGCATTGTGGTTAAACTGACGTACCACTAAGGGCTCATTCCTAGGCTAGACACTCCGACATATATTTTCAAAAAGTAATAGATGAGCTGGAGAAGAACTTTCTGTCTTCTTCTGTCAGTGACAGAGGAATGGGGTTGTGGGGTTGTGGAGACTTGGCAGAGCTGAGACAAGTGGCTCAGGGGCAGAACACCTCCTCAGCATGCACAAGGCCCTGGCTTCCATCTGTGGCACCACAAAACAGGAAGTGTGGGTTAGCAGAGGTCTTACGTCACCTCGTGAGGAAAGAGTCATTGTCTCTGGGAATCTGGGAAGAGATAAATTAGTATAACCTCGTGTAAAAAGAGCAGCAGGCTGCGTTCAGCCCGGATCCCGGCTAGCTTTACCCGAAATAATTACAAGGAAACTGTATTCATTTTAAACACTGCTTGGCCCATTAGTTTCAGCCTCTTATTGGCTAACTCTCACATCTTGATTAACCCATTTCTAATAATTTGTGTAGCACCACGAGGTGGTGGCTTACCGGAAAGGATCTTAATCTGCATCCAGCTTGGAGAGGAGAGCTATAGTGTCTGCCTCACTGCCTTCTTCCTCCCAGCATTCTATTCTGTCTTCCCTGCCTATGTTCTAACCTATCTGGCCAAGTAGTCTCTTTATTAACCAATGAAAGTAACACATACAAAGACACACCTACATAATTTCTCCTTTTTCTGTTTAAACAAAAATGAAAGGCTTTCACTTTAACATAGTAAAATTACATATTACAGAACAGTTATCAAGCAAGAATTACATTTACAATTTTTATATCTATTTTATGTTTTATCATCACTAAGGAAAACTATAACTGTAACCAACCATTCTTCAACTCCATCAAAGACTCCAGAAGGATATAATATTACCTAAGCAAACAAGAAATAAACAACTTCCAATCTCTAGAAATGAAAGAGACATCTCGCTGCCTGTACAGTCACCCAAAATTCCTCTGTACCGTTGGGCCCATAACTTCCAGCAGACATTTCTATGAAGCAGGAAATTTCAATGGCAGTTCAATCACTATCTGCTATGTCCTGCAGAATGTCTCGCAGACTCTTTCATGAGTCAGGAACCCCGAAAGGCCATCTCACCTTTAGGCAAGTTCAGCAGTCCTCTCTCTGCGGGTTCTCTGTGTCCAGCTTATGCAACAGTCCAGGCAAGAGCAGTTTCTTGCCCAAATGGCTAACCAACTCCATAAGGGGCCTCTTCAATGCCCATCTTCCTCTTGAAGTAGATTGGTACTGCCAGGAGCAGACGTGTCTCATTGTCATGAAAAGCCTTAAGTTATTAAAACATTTAAAGTGCCATATTCTGTAGTCTTTGAAAGGTATGAAGAATGCCTATCTAACTGAAATATATCCCTATATATTCAAAAAATCTAACTAACATGACTACAAGCTTGATTATTATCGATGATTATCCATTAACAACCTATATATCTTAATTATACAATACATTTTTAAATGAACTACATAATCACAATACCTTAATCAAGAGCAGAAATACATATACATATAACAAAATTGACCTTAAAATCCATACCAATGCAAATGATTCATATCTATATCATATCCTTCTTTAAATGTAAAAGAACATTTATAAACAATATTTGGGAATATGGGCGCAGTTATTTCTCTCCAAACTGCTTTGTGCTGAATGGGGATGCTGTTATTTAGGTTTTTCATGGTATAACCTGTATGCCAGATTCATCTCAGTTGGCAGTTGAGTGAAGAAATTTTCTGAAGGTGTTCATGGTGATCTTTCAGGAGGGCATGGTCTATCATATCATATTGGGATAGAAGCAATCCACAGTGTCTCATCTTCTGTGAAAACAAAAGAAGAATCTCTTTTCCAAAGTATCATATCCTTAGATCCAAATTCTGAAGTCAAGACACCTTTAGAACATATATGCAGGTTCAGTTTAGCAGCCCATATAATGAAATGTCTCTCTGCACTTAGCTCCTTCATAGTCAAAAATTTTAAAGAAAACATAATGTACATAATCCAGACTCTCTGTGAATTTTTCATTTTTACGTGGCTTATTTTTTTTATTTTTTTAATCTATAACTATTTGTACTCTGTCTCTTTAAAGACTTTATCCTTTTTTTAAGGCATTAACTTTATTCTCTATATTCTTTTTCTTCTCTCTCCCAAGCCTACGTACACTCATCCAACACTATGACCCATTTATAGGTCTTTTATATCTGAATCTGTCCTATTGTGAATCTGTAATTTTTTACTATCCAGGAGCATTTTTGTTTTGCAGTTTTAAATCACTAAGCACTTAAGAATCTAAGCTGTGACATTCCTAGGTCAAAAACAGGTACTGCCTGCTTGCCACACCCTTTCCAACATGGTGGAGCCGCTTGTGCCTCTGAGCCACAGCACACAATGACCCCCTTTTAGGCACACAGTGCCTAAACAAACAAATCGTAGCACTTTACTCCAAATGCTCCATTTAAAAGCGCTGTCTCTCGCAGAAGCCGGATGGAGATTGTGATGGCAGCACAGCCCAGAAACTGGTATTTCAAAACTGACACTTTCTAGTAGATCTGATCCCCTGCCTAGTCAGGCAGTAAGAGCCGAACCACGGGCAGCTACTTTGTTCCTGACCCCAGTGAGCACACAAATCTCCAGGCCAGAAATGCTCCATAGCCGGAGTTTTAAAATGACACAGCCTTTTTTCCTGCTATGGCTGAGTCAGGGAAATTTCTCTGCAGCACCCGCCAGCAAACAGCAAAAAGCTGTATTAAGCTCTGTCTTCTTTTTAAGCCTTCTCAGGCTTTTAAGCGGATTTAGCCTCACGTTGGGAGTCAATCTGTAAAAGGAACAGCAGGCTGCATTCAGCCCGGACCCCGGCTAGCTTTACCCGAAATAATTACATGGAAACTGTACTCATTTTAAACACTGCTTGGTCCATTAGTTTCAGCCTCTTATTGGCAAACTCTCACATCTTGATTAACCCATTTCTAATAATTTGTGTAGCACCACGAGGTGGTGGCTTACCAGGAAGGATCTTAACCTGTGTCCAGCTTGGAGAGGAGAGCTATAGCGTCTGCCTCACTGCCTTCTTCCTCCCAGCATTCTGTTCTGTCTTCCCTGCCTACCTATGTTCTGACCTATCAGGCCAAGCAGTCTCTTTATTAACCAATGAAAGTAATACACAGAAAGACTCAACTGCATCAACCTCGCAAAGAGACAATAAACTGGATCAAGGAAAAGAACCAATACTGGTTTGTATTTAGACGTGAAGGTCACTGACATGGGAAGACAAAAGTAGAAAAAGTTAAAATGATTCCCCAGAGCTCAGACATATAGATATATCAGACACAGGGACACTGTGCAGACATGGGTGATGGCTTAGGAGGGCGGCCCACAGACTGTCAATGGCTCTGAACATGTCATAGGATTAAAATATGGATAAACGGCATCAGGGAAGTTCGGTTCACAGAATCTATAGATGAGAGCTCCATGGTTGGAAACATCATAAAATGAGAGAGTGCAAGCTTCACGGTCCAGGAAAACTCCAACATGAGTGGGAGGACGAGTGAGAGAGAGGAGCAAGACACTGGCATTGTGGGTGACGGAACACTCTTCAAAGGCATTATATACAGACCTGCTCCTCATTCCAATAACCCAGTAGCCCCATTTGGGCTGATAATTTACATGCTGTTCATCATCAAAATCATCTTCAACTTCATGTTTAGGTTGATAATTCACATATTGGTCATCCCCAAAATCTTGTTTGTATTTACGGTCAAAGGCATATTGAAGCTGATAATATACATCTTGGTTAACATCAGAATTATATTTGACTCTAAAGTCCTTTTCATTTGCTGCAGGAAGCTGGGGTCGAGCACACCTTCCATCATTTATTCCCAGGAGCCAGGCATCGCATCCAGACACGTCTACTTCCCAGTAATGTTTCCCTGAGTGGATAGCTGGATACCCTAGGACACCCAAATTATAGGTCTTAGAAATTTGAGAATTTCTTTTACCATTTCGATGCTGTATTTGTCTTTTGTCTTCATTAATGACAATGTTTTTATTGTGTTTTTGATGCAGGGTCACGTGAACTGCAGAAAAATGAGACATATAGGTGTCACATGGGAGGCAAGGTACTGTCTTATTGGTGATATAAGGAGCTGAAGCCTAAGCAGAAAGTGAGGAGGAACATGGAGGAGCCGAGTTTGAAGTCAAGGAGAGGCAGATGCTGTGCATATTGGGAGCAGTAACATAAAACGTAAGTATTAGGAGAGAAATAAACTCTGAAAGACATTAAGATGAGAGAGGCTGATGTGTGATTTCTCCTTACCCCAGTGGCGCTGGGCA